CGTGGAATTAAAAAAAAAAAAGTGAGTTGCCTATGTTTTCTTCGAGACTATCCTCTACATCTGTACCAAATTTCGTTGTAATCCGTTCAGCCGTTTAGGCTACAAACTCTAACAAACGTCCATCCATTCATCTAAACTTTCGCATTTATAATATTAGTATGAAGTATGATATCTATCTATACTAATATAATAAAGCGTAAATACACACTACTTTTACTATTTGTGAATAATTCTTTCTTTAATAAAAAAACCCTACACTTAGGACACGCTTTAGGCTATATATTTTCACGCTTTTAAACTTAGGGAAAATTGGAAAAAACCTTCATGTGGGAAAGGGACCATAAACTACAAGCTGCCAATATTAAGGAAACAAGGGTATTATTATGGTAACGGTAATTTTGACATTTGCAATTTTAACATTTTCATAATTTTATGCGGATGAAGCCGCACGGGAACGCTAGTTTTTTTCATAAATAATCTTATCAAACAGCTCAGATATATTTATTTTTAATAGCAAATCCATCTGCACTTTATTAAAGAAAAATCTTGATAAGTTGCCTGTGTTCTTCCAGACTATGTTCTAAGATCCTTTAAGCCGTTCTGGAGATACCTAACAAATATCCAAGGATTCTTCTAAATTCTAAATTATAGCATTTATAATATAAGTAAAATTGATTTTTGTGTAATTAATTTTGCCATTTGGTCTAAAAAACTCACTTCAAACATTTCAGGTCAACGGTATCTGTATACTCGGGGAACTCTAACTCGAGTTCAGATCGAGATATCTTAGATCTGTCGATGCCGGACAAGAACTCTATGACGGAAGTCTGCTACGTCTGCGGAGATGAATACAAACGAGGCACACTATGTAATCTTAACACCAAGGAACCTAAGGATAAAATGGTAAATATACAATTTATAACCATACCAGCTTTTGCCTATGTGTTCTTCCAGACTATCTTCTACATCTATGTCAAATTTCATCGAGACTTCAGCCGTTTAGGCTACAAACTCTAACGAACATCCATCCATCTAAACTTTCGCATTTATAATATTAGTAAGATTTAGCTTTCGCCCGTGAATCTGTCCGCGTGGAACTAAATAAAGCAAAAGTAAGAATGCATTGTTTTAGACTTTACTCTATGTTTATCCCCAATTTTG